CCAGCCAAGAGCAAAAACTATTCTTCTGTGCAGTATCAGCCCTAAGGAATTCAATCTGGAACTATTTTACCAATCTTTCAAAGGTTTGTGTTTAATAGAGAGATTAGAGAGGAAAGTTAGGGCTGAGCTAGCTGTACGATGTCAAACTGCAGAAGAGAACTGTGAGTTAGCTTTAATCCACCTCAACACACATTCAAAATAGATTTTCAGTTACATCCAAGACCAGCTGGGCGCAGCTAAGAAAGGAGCTGGCTGCATATCTCAATCACAATAGAGCAATCTCAATGTAAATTAAAAACAGTGCATTATTTTACCCTGTTTTATTTTACTCTCTAAATGGTACTTGTTGATCATGCCCCCCACCAAACACACCCACCCACCCCTACATCTCCCCTTCCCACCCCCCAAAAGGCCCTTTACCATCTAGGGACAGCGGGAGAACAGCGCATCCCAGTTCCTTCACTCCTTCCCACAAGCAAAGCAAGATGCTCCAGAGCCTAGACATCCTCACTTACACTTAAGATTCACCTCCCTTCCAAGGAATACTTCTACAGAAAATGTTGATAAACAGGAAAAATACATTTAAGAACTCTGTAACAGTTTGTGTTACAGCAACTTGTGTTTGGAATTTCCCTCTCTTGACCTTCACAAGATGAAAGGTGGGGGCCTGCAGGGAGTTAACGGCAGCAGAGGACAGAGAGTACCAAACATCATTGTGCTGGCTCAGGATTTATCTCAGCACATATCTCTGGAGGGAAGGATTAGCTCGAAGTCATGATTCAGCCTGAATCAACTTTGCTTAGTCAAACTGCAAGGAGAGCTAAGTTTACAAACTACTATGTTTGCGGTACAAACAGTGACTGATTCATCGAGGCAAATACATGTTACGTGCAGCTTTAAAAAGAAGCAGAATATAATGCACAAAAAATTGCAAAAAGATAAGACTCAATTTCACGTTTTATAGGAGTTTGTTTTTATTGTTTGGAGTATATAGCAGATATAATTTCCTTTCTATGTCTTTTAATTGGGAATCAATTTTAATGTCTAATTTAAAATGATGTACCGAAGCAGCAAGTGGTCAAGTGCTTGCTAATATCCAGTGTCGCAATTTTATAGACGCTAAGTGGGCAGCGCCTTCAAAATACATGATCACACTATTCCCTAGCCCTCAAAAATGCTTGTTCCCACCTTCATGCTACCTCCTTTTTTATATCAAGCTTAGTGTTGATGCAGCACATAGTGACTTGTACCAGGAAATAGATTAGCTTGAAATTAACCTAGCGAAAAAGTGGATCGTAATTACAACTTTGTTAACAGTGTCATATGCTACAGAAATTACCACAGAATATTCCCTTTAAGTCTTCCAAGTCACTAAGATGCATTATGCTCTGCTAAGTAAGTGCTGGCTATGAGGACCGAAGTTGCCTGGGGCTACCTTCAGGTCACACAGTTTTCCAAAATTTCATAATACTTCTGGAATCAAATGAGTAACAGCCATTCCTTCCACTTCTGTTCTTTTCCCCTCCCTTCCCCTCCTGCCTTACCCACGCAACCCAGCCACTTCCCAAGACACCTACAGAATGCCTAAGTGGAATCACAGATTTTTTGAAATTTTTGAAACACAGACTGTTTGAAAAAGAGAGTAGCCTTTTATCAATGTTTTCTTATTTTAGTTATATGATTAAAAGCAGCTAGAGTTCTTCTTCAACAAAAAAGTTACAATTTCTAGAGTGAAATCAAAGTGGAACAATATTTTCTTTTAAGTTTAAATAAAGACTAGAATGCATTACAGTTATCATATTATTGCTGTATAAACCTTAACCATCTCCGATTTTTAACAATGGCTTATGTGATTTAAGGAGAATGGCAAAATAAGAAACATGGTCAAAAAAGCTAACAATTCACACATAGTAACGCTTACAGTCATAAATGGAGAGCAACAAACTCATTTGGTGTTTAAACCATTACTGTACATTAATAACAGACTGCAACAGAAACTTTTAGAAAACAGTATTCCACACAGGTCTAACAGCTGCTGTAATGAACCTTTGAAATATTGAAGACTGACTCCCACCTGGAAACTTGAAATACCTTAGCTTTTTGACAAGTAAAACACATAGGGCAGGGCCAGCTTTTGACACGCGTTCTTCGGAGCGTCTACTGTTGTTTCCCAAGCCCTACAGAAGAGGTCACTGTGGAGTCACAGCATGCCCCTCTTCAAAACGGGCCGTCTCCGCCTAGACAGACAGCTTGACTTCAGCAGCCTTCACTGTTCGCTTTTTCTAGCCTTCACATTCTGCCTCTAATTTCTCTGATTCATTTGCATTTATTTCTCCTCTTCATTCCCCCCAGGTCTGCACTTTGTTTCCCTATGAATCTTGAACAGTTTAATATGCTAGGCTACAAATGCCCCACTCCACGTTTTCCATCTGGCTGCCTCTGCCGTGAGGACGGCAGACTCCATCCAAAGAGGATGTTTTTGTGGCAGGGTTTAATCCTCAAAGGGCAGTGTCTAGTGTTCAGAGAAGTCAGAATTCACACGTGGGGGACTACTTGACAGCAACGACGGTAACCAGAAAAGCAACGCATGCATGGGTTCCTGAGGCCTTCCCTCATCGGAAGGGAAAAGTTCAGAAACAGAAAAAAGGGGTGCTTTTTCTTTTGGTTTTGGTTGTTGGGATTTTTTTTAAGCAATGTCTTGGAAAACATAATACGAAAACAAGAATATATACTTGCCAGAAGTATCAGATGTAAGAGCAGAGGTATAATCCTTCCCTGACGTGTTAAAATACAGGAAATTTGGAATTGTGAAGAAAGAAAACATGATTAAATAGCATCCAGCATGATCTTACGTTTAAGCAATGTTTCCAACTGGATAAAAGCAGTAAACTGAGTTAATACTGTAATCATGTATAAAGATATCTATCACAAAGAATAATATTAAAGTATCTCAGTGAAACAAGTTCAGCACAGGACAAAATATTTAGTAGTGCACATGCCTAGGAGAGTATTTCTTTCAGGAGGCTGAAGAAGCGAAGAAGTACTCTTGTTGCTCAGAGTGCGAGTATACGCTTCTCATGCTGAAGAAGGTACTGTTTGGCCAGTAAACGTCTACAGGTACAAAGCACAGCAGAAGCAATGGGCACGTTTAGCCCACCTTACTTAATGGCTCAACACTCTCGAAAACAGGATCTAGATGATAGGGGCAGCAAAAGGAGTAGCTGGCAGGAGCTCCACTGATTTATAGTTCTGGTGTGCATGGCAAGATGCTATATGAATTAATAGCAACATAGCTTGCAGAACTAGTAGTTTTAGCTAAGTGACTCTTTCTCTGGATGATGGGGTGGACTTGAGTTATTGATCTATTGCGTAGGAAGGAACAACAGACGTTATCCTCCCAATCCATAAATACCCGGGATACATGAGAGATCTGACCTGTATCAATACAAAACCATCTAAATAGAAAGCTGATGCCTCCACACTGCCCTTGTGGTGCTCCCTGGCATCACAAATCCTAAAGCCCCTCCAATACAGCAGAAGCTAAGAAGGAAATCAAAGGCAGTTTATGCTGCTGAACATGCTATCACCTCCTGTTAAGATCTCTGAAAAGGAATCAGCTATAATTACACTGCAAAACCAGGCTGGCTCTTTCTTCTACTACCTCCAGCTTTTACCGAACCTTCAGGACCCAGTCCAGAGTTCCACACTGGAACAGCTGTGCAAGGAACGATGTCAACCTACCAACAGTTCATTTCTCCTCCCTGTCTTCGGCAGCATAAATCTGTCTCTATAGTTCTTAAAATATTGTGCCACTGCACACTGCCTGAGATTTTTTCAGATAATCAACACTTCCCCCATGATCCCACGCAAACAACTTGTAAACTTCCTTTTCTATTTTCATACTAAGGAAAGCACGCCCTTCATGAGCCACTATCTCATGAAACTTCACTGCAGCTCGCAAACAAGTATCTTTCAGCAAGTTTATCCAACCTCTCTACCTCAGCTGCTTTCATCTCCATATATGAACGTACCTACTGTCTCTCAGGGATAGCTTTAAAGTAGTTCTTAGAAGAAAAAAGTATTTCTTGTAATTGCTAGAAGTAAATTACTTCCTTCATTATCAAGCTCATTTGTAACTTAGTTTTACTTTCAAGGGCTTGAACTTTTAAAGTATAGCTTTAGAAGATATGTTAGCAGCTACTTTCTTTTTTCCCCTCACACTTCAATTACTTATTGCCTCATACTTAATTTGCTTGACGAGAAAAAAAAAAAAGCAAGCACAGACCAAAAAAACCTCTAAATCATTTCTTAGAGAAATGGAGAAATGCTAAAAGAGAGCACCAAGAACTCTTAAAAATAGTTATCAGTAAAGAAGCAGGATTATTCTACTAAAATCACCAAGTAGAAAAAACTGAAGTCAGTCTGCACTGCCCTGTTAAGAACACGGCTCAAATGCTTAAGACAATAGGAAGTGAAATAAAGTTAAAACTTGCACAGGATGTGGTTTGAACTAACTCAAGGGTTATCTTAAGGAGAAAACTTACCAGCATAACTATACTAGACTGAATAGAGTAATTTGTTCTGTTCTCCAAAATCATAATTATTATGATAACATATATAAACTCATAATGTTCATCATAACAGTAAGTGTGTTATTCCAGTAAGAAATAATTTTCATTTCAAAACTAGCGACACGTTTGATCCATTATTTTGGCATAATTATTGGTAGTAACTTAGCTGTAAGTATAAGCATTTCCTAGATGGGAAAATTTAAGTACGGTTTTATATTGTTAATACAGTCAACGCGTAAGAACAATCATTTTCCCAGCCATCATTTTTTGTTTGTAAAGTCTAGATAAATCTTTGAACTTCACTGTAATGGGTGCCACAGAAATGTTTGATCAGCTTCTCAAGAGAGTAAGTAACAACGAGGGACTAATTGTTTTACAGTCAGCCTAAGTATATGCAAAACTCTTAATGAATATTTAACCAGCACTTACATTTTCACACTGCATCTTCCTGGGTTTTATGTGAGAAACATTGAGACCATCAATAACAATATCAAAGGGAAGGCGATTTTCCACAAACGTCTGAAAGGCTTCAAATTCCTGAAAAAATAAAATAAAGTGAAATTAAAAAGGAGGAATACATCGAGTTTAACAGAAACAGATTTCATTCACTTCATTCAGTTTTATTACAAAGGAAATTAAACCTAAAATCTCTCACTTTTCATTCGTTGGTTACATTTCTTAGTAAATGTAGAAGTGAAGATAAAACAACAGCAAGCAAGTATCTTTAACAGCCTTAAATCTTACAGTAGCTATTTTCAAAATGATTTTGAAATTCTGTTACAACAGGAAAAAAAAAGCAAAAAAAGAATAAACTTTACAGTCATGCAGGTTTTCAAAATTATAATCTGAATTACAAATTTTTATAAAAATAAAAACCGCAGTCATTGCTATATGGCAGCTGCAAAACACACTTTTTTTTTTTTTTTTTTTAAATAAGAAGCAACTTTACCTACCAGGAGGCTGTGACACTGCTGCCATCTCTAACATCTCCAAATGCAAAATAAGCATCATATTTAGTTTCCCTAAGAATTGTGAAGTCTTTAAATATCAGTTACTAGATTATAGCACTATATTTAAAGAATTTATTTATCAATGCAGTCTTCCATCTGTGAGAAACACACAAATCGTTAAGCCTAGCAAAATGACGAACTTTGTCACTAGGTCATAAACATGATGCAGTGACTGAGCAAACAAGATTCATCGAATTTTCCCAACAGAAGGAAAACCATGATTGCTTTAGGCCTGAGACCCCATATGAGCAGAAGAGAATATAAAATTGTAATTGTTAGGTTTTCTAGCAGATGCTTGCATTGCTAAAACAACTGCAAATTTCACGCCTCATGCTGAGAACGCATGAAGGATTTTTCTAATCTTGCCTTCTCTCACGTAACTATATAGCAATACGTAAGTCCAAAGAAGAGCACTTCCCCCTGCCCCTCTCCCACCACAACAAAAGCCTGGACGGTACACACAATTCTTCCTCAGAGGAAGGAGTGAAAGTTCTATTTGTCCAAAAAACATACTGCCGTCAGGCAATAAAAAGTGATCACTAACTTTAAATTTGGTCACAGTGTTTATTATAAATTATACTAGAAAAAGGGTCACTTACATGAAGAGTACAAACCAAGCCAGTGAGGCCGTCTTGTCTCACTTAGATGCTAAGGTTTCTCGTATAAATTCCAAGTGAACTGAGCTATGCTGGTCAAAAGCGTACTGCCATGAACACAGGACACCGCAGCACCAAAATAAATTGGCTTTTCCGTGATCTTTACTGCTTCATACTTACATAAGCATGATTATTGAGAAAGCATAAAAAAAGCAGGGGAACAAGCAAATTGCTGACACTTGTGATGCGACCCCCCTTGCACACACACACACAAGATCTCAATAAGTTTTATATCGATGAATAAATACCCCCATCGCCATCCGGTGGATAGGAAAACCAAGACACAGAAGAGAAGTTCCTAGCAAAGGCTGGGATGGAGGAGCGGGGGTAGAAACCGAACCGCAAACCACCCCCGTGCCCCCCCACCCCCGTTCTTGACTGTCCTGCGGGCGCCGTTCCGGCTCTTTGAAATTAACGATAGACAGACAACACTCCCAGACTGAAAGAAGGTAGAAGAGGAGAGTTTTGAAAGAGGAAAACAAATAAGAACGGAAAAGATGAAAGAAGGTGGAAGTAGACGAAAATACATAGTAAACACTCCAAAAGAGTGTTACTTTCATAATGCCAGCGTTATCTGAGGTAACAGTTATTATAGTCAAGGAGACACTTTTAGAAAGTATGGTATCCATGTAATCCTGTCTTTAAGGGCTTAGCTCAATACAAAACAAACATTTAATGAAGAATTTTTAAAGGGGTACTTTATTTCAAGTGACAATAACTACAGAACGGTTTCTTAAAGGGGTGGGTTTTCCCTGGCAGGCAAAGTAGATTGCCTTGCGGAGGAAACCTACAGCACAAAAGTTGGGGCGCAGAGGAGCTTGGGGGTCAGTGCCCACCCCAGCCCACCCGTGGCTCTGCTCCCTCACTCCCCTCAGCAGGGCAGGAGCAGCAGGAGGGTCCCACTGAGAGGCAGCATGATGGGCTCAGCAGCACCCATGCTCTCTGCACTTCCTCTTGGAGCAGCGTTTTTGAAAAGCTACAGCCTTTTCAATGTCTTTCCTTTGCTCACCCACCTTCCCCTGCTGTCTCCTGGCCACATTTCCCACTCCAGTCTCAGTAGCTGCCTAACAGCATGCCACTGCCAGCCTCCCAAATCTGCTCAGTTGTTTTTGTCCCACTACCAATAAAGTGGGCGATACAGTAGGAAGAGAAGGAGAAAACAAGGTCTGCTGCCATAGGCCACAGTTATCCACACTGGGGGAGGTGCAGTTAGCAGCAGAATCAGTGCAGAAGACAAATGCCCAAGTTTAAATTATGTCACTGAATACAGAAGACTCCAGTGAAAAGCCTAGACAAGCTAAAATTCCCCAAGAGTGTGTTCATTTTCTCCTCTCCATACTCATTTCCCCAGCAACGTACAGGACTGCTCCTTTCCTGGGCGAGAAAAAATGAACTCACACAAAAAACCACCACATAGGGGAGGCGACCTGGATCTTCTAAGGGAGGCTTTCTGAGTCACCACATTTCCCATCATCTCTGGGCACAGAGAAGGAAAGGGGAGAGCCACGGGAACAAGTGGCTGGCTATGTCATCCAGGTGTAGTACAAACTGTTATTCAAATATGCAAATAGACTTACTCTATGAGAAAGAAAGCATACCATTTGAAGGACGACAAAGATCAGGACTTGTAAGTAGGGTCTGGACAAAATCCATACAACTACAGTAATAAACAGATGACTCACCCACAATTCTCTAAAGATATTCCCCTTAACTAGCCATGTGTAAGAAGGAAGGGAAGATGTTCTTTACAAGCAGTAAATTAAGCAGAGCACAGTTGCAGCTAGGCTAGAGCCGATCATGAGAAGGTAGATGCAGTGATCATCAATGTACTGCCACTGTGACATCAAGGTTGCTTCAGGCAAGAAGTGAGCTATTCAAACCAGCTTCCCATCTTCAAACCAACAATTCACGGTGGAATCTACATACACCAATGTGTTTGCCAGCCAGTTAGCTAACGAACACAAGAAATTAAAAAAATAGGTATGTAATAAAGAACACTTAGAGGAAAGTTTTCCGCTGAACACAGCAAGTGGCACTTCTGATGAATCCCTACAACAGGGCAACAAGAAGCACAAGAGCTCGCTCTCTGCACCTAAAAGCACTGAAACAAATGCAGTAAACGTTATACTGACTTCTAACTTGCCCTGCCTGGGTTGGTCTCATAATGCTTCTGAGGAAAAGTTCATTACTTCAGGATTGGGAAGGCTGCTCAAGCCTGCTTCAGAGACAGCAGCTGAAGGGACAAAACTTAAGTACATACCCAGTATCGCTTATTTATGTGATCTTCTTAAGGAGCTACAGAAAAATTTTGCAACAAACTATACAGCACCTCTAGCACACTCTTGCAAGACCCTCACAGAAGCCCGCGTAGTGAAAGCACATGCCTCAGTATTGCAGAAATACATGGAACGTGAAGAGCAGCACTCACGGGAGGTTCCACCGATACCCTACTTTACACTGAGTGCAAAAGAAAAGAGAACTGAAAAAAGAAATAACTCCTTCCATTCATTGCCTAGCTGGGAAAATAGGGGAATGCCAACTACGCGATCGTTAGAAATGATTCACTGCCCCTTCTAAGAGGACTCATCTCTGCAAATGGACACTGCACTGACTAAATCAATTTGGTATTAAGGGCTGGCAATAACATCCATACGGAATTTATCCTGACATGAAGAAGTAAAGACATTTAAAACTTTTTTTTTTGTTTAACCCCTGGCACGTGAGCGGCTCAAGCCCATTCATATCTCAGCAAAAGCACAACACAGACTCTCACTCTTTCGGTACCCCACACCAGCTGGATGCCTCACGCTGCATTTTGCTGTCATTTTACACTGGTATGAACTGGTGCTGCCATAGAAAGAGGTGTCTCTATTTTCTCCCTTCCCCTAACCACTCATTCCTAACTTTGCGCCTTCCCTCCCACTGCGTTCACAGGTAAAGACTGAAGTGGATTAAGAACAGACCCAACATGGACAGACCCAGCATAGCAGCCTGCACCTGCTCCCCGGTTCAGGTCGTAGCACAGAACAGACGGTTCAAGGAGTGCGAAGGGGGCTGCTCACAGGGGACCAGTCCCAGATCACTGGGATCACCGTTCCCTTCAGGCAGCACTGACTATGCTAACTCACTTGGATCGTGAAAATACATTTCATGAGATTTTAGGTGGTCTCTCAAGCTGAGGTGTTGCAGCAAAACAAGAGGTGGAGGTTGTTTTTCAAAAAGTAGGAGTTGTTGGAGGAAACGTTGTTTAGAAGAAGAAACAATCAAACAAAAGAAAACAGGGCTGCTATTTTACAGCACTCATTTTATATATAAAATAAAACACAACAAAACAGGTGTTACCTCAGATTTCAAAATGATATAGTCTGCCAGTTTTACAACAATAATGTTTGAAATAGCAGTTGTGATGAATCTGAAAATAGGACTTTTCTGTAAGAGTATTAATCTATTTCAATTTCTGTAATACATTTATAGACAGAAATATATTTAGGAAACTATTTTAATAGCTGTGCACACAGGCTACAAGCCTCAAAAGCATGATAAGAATAAGGAGGGGAGGAATTAACCATTAGTATTTACCATTCCAAATGTAATACCATAGAAATAAACATTACAACTGAAAACAAAACAAAAACATAATAAGCATCTCTTATGATAAGGGCAATGGGAACAATTTAAATGAGCATTTTTGACATCATTTTAACATACGTAACAGATCTAAGAGTATGACATTTCAGATCAGAGAAAGCTTAGATTACAGCACTTTTCTGCTCAAGTGTTTTAGGTCTAAGCAGAAAACATATGGGCAACTAACAAAAATCATGGTCTTGCAATTCTTCAACAACCCCAAATTTCCACAGAAATAAATGCC